GACAGGGCTTTGCCACCATGAGGCTGTGGACGGAGCTCTACACGGTCCCCTGTTTCATCCTGACGTGGAGCCATTAGGTGAGTCAGGCAGCAGGTCGGCCATCTTGGACTTACCTGACTGTGTATTTAGAAGCCCGTTATCTTGGGCATGCTCTCCTCCTGCGCCTCAGGATTTTCATGAGTGTTTCCCCATTGTCTCCTGTAGCAGGCAAAGTCTCAGTGAGGGTAAAAGTAGCGGTATTGCGGGTTCGATTACCTATTATCGCCTCCGTCTCGTCGGAGCTCAGGAGACGTGCAACCGTGCGGTATCCAAGTTCAGGTTTTTAAGTGAATTGTCAACAGTTTTAATTAATATATGTATCGAATTTCAATAAGTCCTAATTTTAGGGCACAACCACAGCATTTGATACAAAGAAACCCCCCCCAGCATGTATTTGTATGTGACAGATTCAATTTGTGTAATCTGGAGGGGGTAAGGTACCAATGGTATAACATTTTATAATGGGACTCTAAATGTGCCTAATACTCCTCAATGTATTTACAAAGTTAATCGATTCTGTGATGTTAAATATTTTACCCAGTTCTCCCTCCCATTTTATTATTGAATCACATTTTTTATTTAGTTCCCCGAACAAATGAGTGTAGCATATAGAAATGGCTCCCATCCGAAGAGGCCCAAATATTATATTTTTTTCTAACTTTGATAATTCCAATTTACTTTGGTTCGGATCCTGTCCTGAAAGGCCACAATTAACAATAATCATATTATTTAACGTATTTACTCGAATCTAATAAGCCATTGAATTTAATACACACCTCAATTTTTTAAAACCTGAAGCTGAAAAATATTTATGCTGGCAACTGTAATTCACATTTATACTATACTACTATACAACATTGTGCTACAATGAAAATGTTTATTGCCATATACCATAGTAACATTGATGGTATTTAAATTTTACTGTTACTTTAATGTTAAGTCCATTATTTGTTACGCTCTCTTTCAAGAACAAAATTTACCTGTATGAATTCACCTGTTTGAATTCATCTGTGTGAATTCGCTGGATGGCAAGTCGCTCAAAAATTTTGAATTTTGCCCAAATGTAATGCGCCAGCGAATCTAATGCATATTCAAATTTTGGAAACTTTCTTTTTTTTTTAAAAGGTGCGCATTAGATTCGAGTAAATACGGTATTTTGTTGTATATTATTTATTCCAGTAGACCACCAGGGAGACCACTAGGAGCACACTGGACCACCAGAGAGACAACTAGGAGCACACTGGACTACCAGGGAGAACACTAGGAGCACACTTGACCACCAGGGAGTGAACCAGCTTCCCACCAGACCACCAGGGACCCACTGGACCACCATGGGAGGAATTATTGACACCCAGTCTGCACAGAAGGTAAGCAGGAGGGGGGCAAAGAACTATATAGTAAATGTTTTACTGTCACTCTCCCTTTGTGACACTTCTGACACGGTCACTTACCATCCCTCTCCCTGCCACACACCCTACCACATTCCCCTCACACTGTCACACTAACCTCCCTAACCCTGTCACACTATCCCTCTAACACTGTCACACTAACACTGTTATACCAATCCCCTCTAACCCTATCACACTAACCTCCCTAACCCTGTCACTCTAACCCCCCTAGCACTGTCACACCATCCCACCCAACCATTACTGTCACACTAACCCCACTAACACTGTCACACTAACACTGTTATACTAATACCCCTAGCCCTGTCATACTCACCACCCTCCCACAATCACGTACGACCCCTCACCCTGTCACACTCACCCCCCTAACTCTGTCATGCTTACTCCTTACCTCCCCAAACCCTATCATATTTACCAAACAGATGTCTGTGTGCATATCTGTCTGTATGTGCCAGTGTGTGTATCTGTATGCCAGTGTGCATATGTGTCATTGTGTGTATCTGTGTATGTGTGAGTGTCTGCGTATCTGTATGTGTATCAGTGTGTATATGTGTATCTGTGTATTAGTAGTGTGTATGTCTGTTTATTAGTGTGGGTATCTGTGTGTTTGTATTTATGTAGTGTGTGTATCTGTGTGTGTGTTTGTATGTGTAGTGTGTGTGTCTGTATGTGTGTAGTTTGTGTATACTGTATGTGTGTAATGTGTATTTGTGTGTGTAGTGTAATGTGTATCTGTATGTCAGTGTATCTGTATTATGGTAGTGTGTGTATGTGTCTGTGTGTATGTGTGTATGTCTGTGTATCTGCCGGCGTATCATTGTGTCTGCACATCTTTTTTTGGGGGGGTAGGGGGAGAAGGGGAAGCATTTCATACTTGGATCCAGGCAGCACAATGTCTTGGTCCGGCCCTGATTATATTTATTGCAAAGCTGTATTTCATTACTGTATGTGTATGATGACTGTCTTCAGGGGGTGAGTGTGACAGGGTGAGTAATGGAATAACTGTGGCAGGGTGAGTGTGACAGGGTGAGTAAGTAATGGAATAAATGTGACAGGGTGAGTGTGACAGGGTGACTAATGGAATAACTGTGGCAGGGTGAGTGTGACAAGGTGAGTAATGGAATAAATGTGACAGGGTGAGTGTGACATGGTGAGTAATGGAATAACTGTGGCAGGGTGAGTGTGACAGTCCGAGAAGGGAGAATGAGAGAGGGTTGGGGTGATTGAGACAGTGAGGGATGGTGAGTGTGACATGATTACAGGGGGTTAATGTGACTGGGTGACTATGACAGGGTAAGGGGAATGAGTGTGCCAGGACTAGGGGGATTTATGTGACACGGTGAGTGTGGTATGGCTGGGGGGAAGAGTGTTTAGGGCTAGAAATTTAGTATTGGGGTACATTATTTGTTTAATTTAAGAGAATTTAAACCTAGGATTAGGGCAAATGATATTTTTGTAAAACAACAACAAGTGGGAAAAAAAGACGTTTATAACCAGTGGTGTATCTTGGATTTGTGCTGCCCTAGGTACAACTAAATTCAGGCACCCCCTAATCTAAATTTCCACCACCACTTCGTGTCAGGGTCCCTTTTTTACTGACAGACGCATGCCCTCATTGACAGATACACAGTCATTGGCACACACACTGTTTAAACAACCCACACTTTCACTGACAGACACACACACACTGACACACCCACTCACTGACAGGCACACACTCTCAAATACACATACACTGACAAATACATTATTGACATACACTCACTGAAAGACACACACTGACACAAACATCCTCACTGATTTGACACACTCTGACAGACACACACATTCACTCACTCACTCACTCACAGACATATTCACTGACAGATACAAACACACTAACTGACATACACAGACATACTCACTGACAGACACAGACATACTCACTGACACACACACACTGACAGACACACTCACTGACAGACATTCACTGACAGAAATCCACCCAGCCTCCGTACCTTTGGGAGAGCTGGAGTGGATCCCATCCCCGACTGCTGCTGGCCTGGCTGGGCTCCTTGCTGGGGCTGCTGGCTGGGCTCCTTGCTGGGTGGACAGATTACTGGAGCTGCAGGCTCATCTGGCTGGGTGGGAGGGCAGGTGCTTAATGGAGGTGGCGAGTGAGCTCTTCCTGTTCTGCTCCCTGACGTCATATTCCAGCTCCCAGCATCATGGAGGACTGCGCTCCCTTGCCGCCCGTCTACACTATGAGCCAACCGGCGACCTCTTGCTCCCACCCAGAACGTGAGGCAAACAAGGCACTTGCCTGGGAACTTAGGGTGGCGTTTTTTGCCACCCCCCTGAAAGTGCCGCCCTAGACAAATGGGCAATCAATAAGTACTAAGACCAATGTTCAAAGGGACATATCTACTAACATGCTAAAACTACTGCAGCAACCAACACAGAATACAAGCAAATATATGTTTAAATCACAACCCAAAAAAGTCAATAGAAGCTTATAATATTTTTATATAGTCTCTTGGGCTGCACCTTTGCAATAAAAATATAGAGAAAAAAATATCTAGTGCAGAACATCTATAAATTTCAATAAATGCACTCAATTTAGATAAATGGTATCACACTCACAAATATTGAGTGCATTAAGTGCCACTCCCATTTTCCAGGTTCAAGAGGGACGAGGCTCTTTGTTTACGATGGATCCAATAGACAGAGGTATAAGTATCCTGATCGGATCGGACCGGACTGTACTGCTGCTTTGTGAGATCTTTGGCTATAGTTATGGCATAATTTGCAAACAAAATTAACCTGCAATAAACACATTTCATTTGCAATTATGCTAATCGTACATACATGATTGCAAGGTATGGTTGCATAGCGTGGCAGTTGTGTATACTTTAAAGTGCCAATGTAAAGGGCTTATTGGAAACAAAAACAAACACCAATATTCACATTAAACTTTTATTGAAAAAATAAACATCTACAAATAATGAAAAAGAGGCTTGCAGGTACCCCTCATCGCTTATAAATTTGTACCGAAGGTGCACGCTCTGCATGGAGGCGCTGAACGTTCCTCGTAGAGATTCATTGAGTCAATCCATCTGTATGAGGAGATGCTGATTGTTGCAGCGTATGTTTGTATTCCGATCACTATAGCGTTCCTTTAAAACATTGCAGAGCTGAACACACCTATAGTGGCTGTCCTTCTAGAACAGCACTGCTTTCAATGCTTCTCTATGAGAAACATTTGCTTGCCACTCATTCGCTTCTTGTTAACAATGCTTCTGTGTAAGAATCACTGAGTTGGACGAGATGTCTGCTGATGTCAAAGGAGGCGGAGCCTGCAACAATGATGTCACGAGGCTGGAAACAAGCTAAGTAAAATTATTACACTATCATGTTAGAACAAAAAGGGGTGAATGGGCTCACTGTAAAAGCTTGGAACTTATAGTCGCGAAAAAAAGAATATTATTTTCAGGACTATATTTTCCCTTTAACACTTAATGAAAGACTGTTGCCGGGGGATTCCAGAAACTATAAACAATTAAATGAGATGAAGCAGTTACATTGCCTATGGCGGTATTTTAACTTTCAAAATGTAGATCATGTGTGTTGCACAGAGTTTGTTTTCTGAATGTTAATGAATCAGACAATGGAAATTCCAATTCATTATGAGGCATCGTTTTAAAGAAAGACCTCATATCAGCTGCTATTGCTGTGTTCAAAGTTCACTGTTATCTATATTTACTTTGCAAGTAAGTCACTAGATTTCATTAAAAAAGAAAAAAGAGAACTATCAAAAATACCTTTGGCTAATCCAAAACAAACCTTGAAATGTGTACTAGGTTGAAATATTTTGTAGCTGATTCAGTGGCTTTGCTTTGAGTGACTGTGTGACTTCTTCATACCTCATGATTCATAAACTTATAATCATACGTGCTGCCCGAATACAAAGGTTGCTACAGATACAGGCTATAAATATTTTTAGATCTATGATGCATTTACCAATATGGGTCAACCCCGACGATCCGTTTACATACATTTAAACAAAGACAAATCAATACCTTGTACAAAACATGTATACCTACTATTGCTTCTACGTGATTTACTGATGGGATTATTTAAAGAAAACCTGTCAAAAGGAAAGTGACATTTATGCCAAAATAGCTGACCAGGAAAAATATCAGAGTTTTTATCACTTTGGCCTAAAATGGTCATTTACTTGTCAATTCAATATCTACTTTGTTCATATTTGTTAATTTTGAGAAAACGATGCAAAATAATCCCAGACAATTAAGAGGTACATTAATAAGGTGAATCACAATTTTCAAGAACTGGTGTTTTCTCTTTTTACTAAGCTTCTAATTCACCTGGGACAGTTTAGAATCCATTTTTAAAAATAGCATGACTACAACTTACATTTCTGTCAAACATAGAGAAGGAGAAGGGCTTGTTTATGTACGGGCTGCAATAGCAAGTTATTTTTGTCACACCTACTTTGGGTTTACAGTTTACACTCATTCTGATATAACATATATGAGTACTTGAGTACATAGGTTTAGCATACTATAATCGGTAAAGTCTAAAGAATTTTACCTTAAATTGTAATCTGCATGTCATTACACCTTATGTGTTCTTTATAGATTAAAAATAGGCGCAATTACAGAATTATGACTTTTAAATGTTTAACATCTTCACGGAACAAACTCCTGGGATACTCCCTCTCTTGCACACAATTTATGATATATTTCCTTTTGGATTATATTAAATGGTACACTATATCTCTGATGTGTGTGATTAATGGGCCACGGTTAGGGAGACAGTTCCTCCCTTGCTTGAAGCACTAAAAGCTGTTGGTTTGCTTGCAGAATTGAGAACTACCTGGAAGGAACAATGTCTTTGCCAGAAAAACTTAACTCTCAGCACACTGCAGAACATGAATATAGGATAATGTCAGCTTCTTCTCTAATGTTTTTCCAAAATAGAATGTAAAGTTGAAAATGGAGTATCATTGCAACACAGAGCAAGATGGCGCAAGTGCCCCTCCCTAGAATTTGCCCTTCATTTGATTTAAATGGTGTCTAAGAGTGACAGCGCTTATTTATTTGCTCTCCCTTTCAAAAAATGAAAAAAAAATCTGTGGATACCCTCCTTGGTAAGCAATGGAGGTAAATGAAAACATCTGTCACATTAATTAATGCTCATCATTGCCCCCTTTCTCAACAGCAGACAACATGAAGTCTTGGAACAATGGAAACAAATATCTGTCAAACTTGAATATGAGGCAAATGGAAACTAGAAAAACAAAAAAATTGAGACGTGATTCAACAGATGTGATGGTCAAAACAACAGGAGGACAGGTAATTTGAGTAATTATCCTATTTAAATGAAAAATCCAGGCACCCAATTTCAGAGAAATCCTGTGTCTTATAGTCAAGTTAAAGCAACACTAAGCAACATACCCAGCACCTATATGGCTGTCTGTATAAAGCACAATTTACTTTACATTTGATACTGACATCAGTATAAATTTTCTGTAACCTGGAATGATAAGGTAAGAATCAGGGGTCAAGTCCTGGGGAAAAAAGTGTGGGAACTCTCCCCCCCCCAAAAAAAAACACTTGTATGTATGTGTATATATATATGTATGTATGTATGTGTGTGTGTATACACATATATATATATATACACACACACGCGTGCACACACACATACACTCACACAGTGGTGTATTTTAATTTTATGCTGCCCTAGACATGACTATAGAGCACCCCCCTAATCTAAATGTACCACTCCTTCATGTCAAGGGTGCACCACTTCCTGATTAAGAACCCACCCCTTCCTCTTTAGACTCCACCTTTCCCTGCTCCTTTTAAAGAAATACTATAGTGCCAGGAAAACAAAGTTGTTTTCCTGGCACTATAATTCCATATAGTGCCCCCCTCCTCTCATGTCCTCCCCTCCCCCACTCGACACTGAAGGGGTTAAAATCCTATGGGTATTTAGCAGATGCTGGATGTCCTCATGCACAGGGTGAGGACGTCCAGCATCAGTTAGGTGACTTTGGTCACCTAACCACCCGAAAGTCCCTCTAGTGGCTGTCTGATAGACAGCCACTAGACTTGGGGTTACCCCTCAGGTAATTATTGCAGTTTCTGAGAAGGTTTAAGGGGACTGGGACACTGCACCCAGACCACTTCAAGGAGCTGAAGTAGTCTGGGTGCCTATAGTGTCCCTTTAAGCACACTCTCTGACAGACACCCACACTGGCAGATACACACTGTAAGTAACACACACATTCAATGACAAACACACAGACGTCACTGATTTGACACACACATTCCCTGACACACACTCATTCATTGACAGAGAGACACACACTAATAGTCACACACACACTAAATGACAGACTCTCACTTATTTGACAGAAACTTACAATATCGTATGCACATACATGCAATTGCAAACATACACATGCATACACTAACAGAAGCACATACACTCACATACACACGTACAAACGCTAACAGACATAAATACACTCCTACACACACTGAGACAAACAGACATCCACAGACAGACATCCACACATCCAGACATCACATCCAGACAGACATCCACAAACAGACATCCACACATCCACATCCACAAACAGACATACATACATCCACAAACAGACATCCACACATCCACACATCCACAAACAGACATCCACTAACAGACATCCACACATCCACAAACAGACATCCACACACAGACATCCACACATCCACACACAGACATCCACACACAGACATCCACACATCCACAAACAGACATCCACACATCCACAAACAGACATCCACACATCCACATCCACACATCCACAAACAGACATCCACACATCCACAAACAGACATCCACACATCCACAAATAGACATCCACAAACAGACATCCACACATCCACAAACAGACATCCACACATACACAGACATCCACACATACACAGACATCCACACATACACAGACATCCACACATATACAGACATCCACACATCCACAAACAGACATCCACACATCCACAAACAGACATCCACACATCCACAGACATCCACAAACAGACATCCACAAACAGACATCCACAAACAGACATCCACACATCCACAAACAGACATCCACACATCCACAGAGATCCACACATCCACAAACAGACATCCACACATCCACAAACAGACATCCACACATCCACAGACATCCACACATCCACAAACAGACATCCACAAACAGACATCCACAAACAGACATCCACAGATCCACAAACAGACATCCACAGACAGACATCCACACATCCACAAACAGACATCCACAAACAGACATCCACAAACAGACATCCACAAACAGACATCCACACATCCACAAACAGACATCCACACAAACAGATATCCACACA